TTGTACGCTCCCTTCCTTTCACTCTTACTTGCAACGAACCATCGTCACCTCCTCGCCACTGGCGTTGCGAAACTGACAACATAAGACAACGCTGACATCCATCCATCCATCCATCTCACACACCTTCCGCTGGTTTGCCTGTCCCTCCTCCTGCTGTGGCGCGTTTGGGGCGCCCTCCATGTGCTGCTGGTGGTGGTATGGGTCCTCCTCGTCTTCGTCGTCGTCGTCGTTGCTGCCGGCGAGGAAAGCGACCTTCTTCTTGCTGGATGCCTTCTTGCGCCACTGGTGGACCTCCATCTTCTGCCCGCCGGTCTCCTTCTGGATCTCCTCCAACATCTGATGGACGGACGGATAAACAGAGGGGGCAGCAGACACAGGACGGTTTCGGATGTGGTCGGTGTGTTTGTGCGTACGTCGAGCAGCATGTGTTCGGCGAGGAGGGCGAGTTGGAGCACCTCGGGGTGATGCTTGGTCGGCACGAACTCCCTGACAGACACACAGAGTGTGTGTGTGTGCGTGTGTGTGTGTATGTATGTGTATTAGAGGAGAAGGAGGTTCTGACAGACCGTAGGATGTAGCCATGCTCCGCATGGACGGCAGCCTCCTTGAAGATGTGCCTCAGGTACACCTGGTACACGTAGGCAGAGAGACACAGGGAGACGTGCTCACACACGCGCACACACTGGTTGGCTGACTGCATATCATATCGTCACGCCACTCACTACGGCGGGGCTTCTGTCGATGCCTTTGAGCATCTTCAGGAAACGAATCTGAATGAACACCCCGCGGCACTCACAAAGACAGCCAGCTAGCCAGATGCATAAACCACCCACCCGCCCACCTGTTCGACGAAGCATCTGAGTACGAAGCGCAGCTCGTTGTGTCGGGGCATGACCCTGGTGCACCGCTTCCCACGCGAGCCATACGCCTTCAAACGACTGTACACCACACACACACCCAAACACACATGCGTGTCGGTCGGTGCCTACGATGCGTGTGTGCGTGTGTGTGGCGATGTCCTCACGCGACTGTGTATGTGAAGAATGGCGGGTCCGCGGCCTGCTGCAGCAGCGTCAGGTCGATCTTCTGCGCCGGGTCATTGGGATTCAGAACCAGCTCGGGGTCATTCTTGCGCAGCTCTGCCATCTGCTTCCCAACCAAACAAACACACACCAGACACACAGAGTCACACACACACATACACACACAGAGGGTTTGTCGTGTGTGTTGTGTTGTGTTGTGCTGTCCGGCGGGCCTTTCTCTGGTGGTTGAGCCGGAAGAACTGCAGGACGAATGTGGCCAGGTTGAAGAGGTGAGCCTCGTCGCGCTCCTACACATACACACATACACACACACACACACTCATGCCATGCACACATGACATGACGCACACACATGTGTCTGTGCATGCGGAGGTGTAGAATACGTACGGTGATCTCCAGGTGTCGTCCATCCATGTCCTTCATCTCGCCCAGGTCGACAATTTCCTTGTACTTGTCCAGCTCGCGGAACACAAACCCCGCAACGTGTGAGTACTCGGCTTCGATGAACTGGGCTATCGTGTCCTGCACACATAGCATAGAGAGAGGTGTCGGGTGGCTGCACAACAGTGTGTGCGCGTGAATGAATGGGGGGGTGAGGGGGGAGGGTTACGTAAAGCTTCTTCACTGTCTTGCCGCTGAAGAACTCTGCACAGAAGCAAATAGGGAGAGGGAGACGGACAGACAGACATGAAGCCGCTGTGCACGTCTCTGTATGTGTGTGTGGATCCATCCTGACCGAGCAGATCTACAGGGTTCCGATAGCGCATGTCTACAAACAGAATGTCCTCCGCCTTCCGACTGCGATACGTCTGCTGAATGCGACGCCTGACCCACCATCAAACACACACACACACCCACACACACATCCATCCGTCCATCCATCTCTCCCCACCCTCCCCTCCCCTCCATCCCCTCCGCACACACCCACACATACGTACGTACGTGATCTTGTCGGTCAGCAGGGTGCTCTCCTTTTGTGGCTTGATATTGAGGTCGGGCAGCAGCTTCTTGGGCGGCTCGGGGTCGGGATACACGCCCGCAGGGTCCATCTGCCTCGTCTGGAGTGTCTCCTTGTACTTGACCTCCATCCAGTCGCGCAGATGGCCCTCCTTGTCGCGCCTGACGTACTGGTCTGGCGGGATGGGCCAGGGAAAGGCCGGCTCGCTGCCCGCCCGCCGCTCCTGCACCATCTCCACCCTCTGCGGGTACACCTCCTCCAGCCACTTGCGCAACTCACCCTCATCAACTGCATGACGGCACACACACGCGAAGAAGAGTGGCGTGTATGTATGTGTGTGTGTGTGGGAGGGGGGGAGGGATATGGTGCCAACCGTCGTCTTTGAGGTATTGGCCGGGCGGTAGTGGGAAAGGGTAGTGGTTCTCGGGGTCTTTGGGCCGCGTCTGCTTGACCCTCTCACGCTCCTCCTGGAACTGCTTCTCCATCGCATCCTGCAGCGTCTTCTGCTTGCCTGGTGCACCACACACCACCACACACACATACACTTAGCCC